TTAGCAGCAGCTCTGTCGAAGACAGCACTGCATCGAGGACACAACATAACCTCCCTATCAGCCTCCTTTTTCTTTGACAGAAACTCAACCAAACTATCTCCCTCTTTTGGATAGATAGGTTCTTCCTTCTTAGCGAAATCATCCATCAATTTCTTTGAGTTTCTCATCAGAAATAGGCTCAATGTTTTCATCACCCTCGATATTGACTTCAACCATATTGATTCCCATCGAGACTGGTTCCACATATCCAGTGTGAGCGGCAAATGGATCAGTGTCCACTTTCATGTCCTTTGCCTCGAAAGCAAGGTGACCATCAATGATCTCTTTCTCGATCATATCCCTGAAACGCACACAGTTATTAGTCCAATGACCATACATATTATGATATTTACAAAATTTCTTCCCTTTTCTTTGTTTGAATGGCGGAATTTTATGGTTTTCTAGGAGTACAATTTGTTTATCTTTTAATAATATATCAAATATCTTATCTGCCTTAGTCACATCGAAACTATATCTCCTAGTCGAGTTCCCTTCTAGATTGTCCCCTGGTTTTAACATTTGACATTGATAAGTGGGACCAGGACGCAACTCTGCTAAGTTAACCTCAAAATCCTCACTGAAAATCTCATAGTTAGCATCCTCACTTATCTCTGCGTTTTCTAAATAGGCTACCTTTTCTTTTCGGACAAACCTATCAAACTTTCTTAATCTTTCCTTTTCTAACTTAATCTGTTCGTTCCTTCTTACCTTTTCTGCTAACTGAGCCATATTTCTCAACTGTTCATTTACCAATTTTTTACGTATTTAGAAATCTAACCCTGTTACTGCGATCTTAACTAATTCATGCTCAAGTATATTAGTATAACATCGAGATTTTAATTGCCTGAACCTATTTAAATAGTCATCTAACGTTTCGTGGTTTTGTCTCTTAACGTTCATTAGATCAACTATACTAACTTTAGTTTCTCCTCTGAAGAAATGTTCATGAAAACTACCTTCCAATTGAACCCAAGTGTTTATCGAATTAGGGGATAAAGTTGTGAACCATGTAAAAGCGTGCTTAGTTAGCGAACTCGGAAAATACCTCATTTTTAAATACTCATTGTTCGCTAAATCCCCACATTCGACTAGATACCTAGCTATATGTTCGACCGTAGACTCATTTAATTCTCCCGCGAATTTCAAAAATTTTGGGACCTTTGTCCCCCTAGGCAATTCTACTTGAGTTGCGTGAACTGGAAAGGCTGACACAAAATAAGGGTGTTCATTTTGACCTACCTCGAAACCATGCCTGTTTAGTACCCTTTCTACAATTTGATCTAGGTTGTCCTCGGGGTTCCTATAGGGTCGACCTACGTTTTGTGGAAACACTACATTTCCCCCGAGATTTTCCATATCGTTCAAATTTGCACTCATAGCTCTTGAAGGCGGAACATCTCCTAATTTATCTCCTATTTTGTTTATCAATTCATACAAAGGAGTCATAATGTTATGCATTTGAGTTGACAACAAATTGACCATGTCATGATTACTATGGTCCATTTGTTGTCGAAGAGCCATCATGGCTTGATTACTAATCCCTGTGGGGATATAATTACTCCGTCGAACCAGAGACCCTTCGTGACTAGTGCCTACGTGTTGGTACGGGTCTTGCATGACGAAACCTAAACCATTTGGCCCAGGATTATAACCCTGTGGGGATACATGCATTTGTGAATTTGGTCCTAAATAAGGCATTGGCATCTCGACATGTACAGGTTGGGTATTTCGCCAATTTTGTGGCATGCCCCAAGGATATTCCCCAGTGACATTCGCTAATTCTTGGGACACATTAGTTTTCCTAGTCACATTTTCGAGTACAACAGGGGAAGACGTTGCCCCCCTTGTCACATTAGTCACATTATCAGGGTTGGGATCTCCTTATTCTTCATCTACTTGATTATCATTATTTGTTTCTCTCCTACTATTAGACGTAGACATGGTTCTTCCACTCCTAAGTCTCATACAACATGCATACCTTAAACTAGTCCAGTTATGTTTGTAATTTTAACGGGTCCCACCGGGCATGCCAATTTGTTTACGGGGGAATTTGTTTATGGGTTCTTTATATTCGAACTAGCACAAAAGTGTTTCAATTTAGGTATCTAGCATTTTTTATAACCTTACAAAGAACAAAAGACGGAGTAGAAAGATTTAATAGTTACTGGTCTCCAAATATTCATCAATGATTACCCAGAAATAACGTTCATGCACATAAATAATTAGACGAACAGAATGAACAATAAATATACTCCCAATACAGATCATGGTTCATAATGTTCAAACATTACAACATCATCAGAGTTTAAATCACTTAAAAATATGTGATTAAAAGAAGAAAGAAGACTACACTAATCCTAATCCTAATCCTAAACAGAGAAAAGAAATGTGGTCAAGAAGCAGCCATACCCAAAAATGATTCCTTGCACGAAAGCCATATGCGCAGGCGAAGAGTGCTTGAGAGCTCAGTTCAAGTATGAGTTTTCCGACCCATGCCTTGCATATTTATAGAGCTAATAGAGGGCAGTTAATTGTATTCGTGGAGTTTGTGGGAAATAACCGTTATCCACTATGCTCTCATTACGTGGTCTGGTATATAACTTCTCGCAACCGTTTAATACCACGTATTTTTTATCCTTTCGATTCACTTTCCAATAACCGCTTTAGCTTAACCACTCGACCCTAGGGAAACCTCTAGTAACCTCCCTTATTTATTTTCGAGCACTCCTTTGTTCAATTTGATTAATTTTATTCGACCACATCCAAGTATTAGCAAATAAGGCTCTTAATTCAATCCTGGTAGGTTTTGACCTTTTCTTTCATTTCAAGTAGCTTTCACAAACACCCTTTTCGAGTCACATGGTTTCGAGTGACCTTAACATGTATATAAGTTATAATATTTTATGAATTGTAATTTTGTCTTTACTTGGCTGTGTTTGGTTGTATAATATTAATATATTATTTTTTAAATGTTTGTATTTTAAGAAGAATTATTAAATTTATAAGTATTGTCAAACTTTATTATTTTATTATATTTTGATTTTCTATTTTTTTATTATTTTAGAGTTAAAATGTTGAATTATTATATTATTAGAAACATACATTATAATATATATATATATATATATATATATATATATATATATATTACTTATAAGATTTTTAATATTATTTTTAAGACTCACAAAAATCTGTTTGGTTAGTCAAAATGTTTTTCAGAATATTTATGAATGTTACTAAGGAATCAATGATTTTTATTGCATTAAATAAACTAATAAAAATAACATTATATTTATACTACATTAAAACTTTATTTTTATCTTAGAAAGTTAATTTTCCACCTTCTCCCCTAGGAATAATCCTATGAAAAATCTAAGTATAAAACATTATGGAAAAATAATGTTTCTTGAAAATGTTATTTTTTAAATAATAAATAAAATACGAGAAACTAATATTTCCAATGCAAACTTTTGGAAAAGTAATAACTTTTTTATGTACTATAAGCCTCCTTATAATTTATAATTCGAGTTCGCAAAAGTTCCAGGAGATTATATATGTAAACACTTTAGTTTGACAACCTTAGTTAGAGGTGAGAGAAAAAATCTAAAACAAATCAAACCAATCAAAAACTAACTAAACTAGTGTATAAAACCCATTTGAGAAAATAAAACCAAATTGAATCAATTTATAAAAAAACAGTTTCGTCAATTGATCAACTTTTATAAAGTTATTCAGTTTGATTTTTTTTGGAAAAAAGAAAAATAAAACCAAATATGAATACAAAATGAATAACCAATCTGCATCAAATTGATTCATTGTAAAAAAGTTTGATCCATTTTTAGAAAAGTCAAACCAATAAAAAAAATGGTTTGATTAACAAAACAATTTTTATAAAATGGATCAATTTGTTTTTCAAAAAAATCCAACCTTGAACAGTGAGGCAAAGTAAAGCCCAAAAGCATCGTGACATCACGATTCAGTCAAAAGTGGATGTCCTATGCAAGTGGCTACAGAGGAGAAGAGAATTGAGGCACAAAGAAGATTGGAAATGAGATGAGTGATAAATTTTGGGGTTCTTTATACAAATCGGGTTCAACCAGGTCACTAAAGAACCTAACAACGTTTCTCCCTAAATCTGTTTACATAATCCACTAAGTGGGTGTTCCGAACAGATTAATAACAGATAATGATCATTTACTCATTTTTCTAAACTCTCTCAGGAGGTTGAAATAAAAAATACTCATTTTTACTCCAAAATAAGTTAATTTAATCACTATAATGATTGCTTCATTGATCAAAAGTTGTTGGTTGATATAGCTACATTCTCATTATTCAAGGGCTCTAAATATCACATGTCCAACTTAAGTTTAATTCATGCTTAACCTAGTCCAAAAGCATCGTTCAAAAAAATTGAATTGAGACTTGTTTGCAATCACTACTACAAGATGCATATTTTACATCGGTTCTCTAAAGTCATTTACATCGGTTCTAAAACCGATGTAGAATAGACCGATATAGAAAATGTATACATCAGAAACTAGTGTGGCTATATATCTTATCTACAACTTAAGCATTGACGAGTAATAATTGTAAAATCTACAATGAACAAGAATTTAATAAAAAAAAATCCCCACAATCATTTACCAATAAATCTAGTTACGCATCCGCATAAACAGAGACAGCAAGAAGGTACAAAATTACCTTGTAACCAGACACCAAATCCATTTTCATTGATCACAGAGTGCTCCACAATCCTTGAGAAGTGAAAGAAAAAAGGAAAATCGAACAATTTAAGTCGTAATTATAACTACAGAAAAGAAAATCATGATCGAAGCATAAGACTAAAAGATTGAGGGATTATAGGTCGTGAGAACCCTACAAGGAGATTTTTCTGGAGAGCGTGGAGGCGGCGGTGAAGAGGTCGGCGAAGGTGTGGGCGTCGGGGAGGGTGTTGTGTGCCATCATGCTACGGAAGAGGCGCACGACGTGTAGAGAGGTGGCGTGGGATTGTTGCTGGGAGAAGGCGTTGATGAGTGAGTTCCATGAGACGACGTCTTTGTGGGCGATGGTGTGGAACACGAGGGTGGCTTTGCCGATGTGGCCGAACTTGGCGTAGAGGCTAAGAACATGTTGACGAGGGTAGGTGGCGGAGATGGAACTGGTTCTGAGGATAAGAGCGTGGAAGGCTCGACCTTTACGGAGGTCTTTGTGGCGGGTGCAGTGGAGGAGGGCTCGTAGGAGATGGGCGTGTTGGGGAGGCGAATTCCTTGAGCAATTGGACGGCGAGGTCGAGGCGGGAGGCGGAGGGCGCAGACGGCGCAGACGGCAATATCGACGGTGGCGGCATCAGGGGCGAGGCTGGAGGAAAGCATGAGGTTTAGGGTTTGGTGAATGGGGGAGATGGATTGGGAATGCGAGGAGGCGGCTGGGTTTACGCTGATGAGTGAAAGGGGAAAATTAGGTTCTCATTTCTACATGGGTCATAGGCAAGACCGATGTAGAACATCCCCCGAATTTTATTTCTGCATCGGTCATGAGCAAGACCGATGTAAAACATCTCCTGAATTTTATTTTCTACATCGGTTATAAGTAAAACCGATGTAAATATGTTTTTATTTTCTATTTATTTATAAGTTTGCCACCACGTTTATAATTTACATCGGTTCTACTAGAACCAATGTAAATATGGCGATGCTAAATAGTATTTTTGTAGTAGTGAATTAAGCATGGCCACGGGATAACAAAATGAGTAAAGTAGATGTAACCATATAAAAACTTCAAAATAAACATATGAACTTCATTTATCAAAATATTTAAGAGCATTATACATAGACTTTGACCGAATTGAACCAGAAAACCATATAGGCAGAACAAGGAATGCTATAATCAACCGAAATGGACGACCTTGAATATAACTTTTACTGACATCATAAAATTAGAAAACTCCAATTGTTGAGATCAAGTGCTCTGTAGAATAGAATTATAAACTTTGTATAGCCTAACAACTATAGAGGCAGCTATTATCTTTATTTTTCTACAACAAACAATCATTTAACTTTAGATAGTTATTGGGTGGGTCTAATTGGCAGTGTTTGAAATAAAGGGATGTCGAAGACACCTTCAAAAATAATAAGTGATTCAAGCAATGTTTTTCAAACAACTTAAAAAGAAATTGTGTAAGAAAGTTATGCAATTTTGTCAAAAGTAGACTCATCATAGCATATTCCTTCTCTGTTAAAAATACATGAATGATAGAATATTCATTTTTAAGAAACATTTGAATTGATTGTGAACATTACAAGGAGACTTTAACACAAACTTCAGTTGACTCAATTTTCAGTAATGATTCAATTTCTTCATAATTGTCCTCAATTCCTACCAGACCTTTAAGTTGGTTTCGGTAAGTAGGAGTCAATTTTTGCAAAACGTCTCCAACAATTTCCTTAAGGAGTTCTGATTCAGTCCTAGCATAGGAAAGAAGAAACACAATGAAATAAATGTTGTGTTATGAGCATAACAAATACAATAGAAAAAAAATAATTATACATAATCATAGATCAATATGTTAGAATAATAGAGAAAATGATATAATTGAGGAATAAAAATTCAATGACTTAGAGAAGATAAAAAATATCTATGTTTTTTCTACACAATGAACTTATTTAAACTACCATGGAAGTTATTATTCTACATACGCATGCTCTCATGCATGTAACGGAATTAAAAGTTTCCAAATACACAAACAATATATGGATAGAATAAAAAAAAGTTATAAAAGACTCGGGTTAATGAAGATATCGATATTTAAATTTATTTTTAGGTTATTGAAGAGAAAATATTTGAAATATTTTTCAATAGTGAACTTCATAGTAGATGAATAAATTACAATAAATTATCATTGCTTACATGTTCACTATGTATAAAAATATACTATGGAAATATTATTGTTCACAGTGAAAACCTGGTGAGACCAATTAAGGAGAATCTTTTCAAACCATGTAAAGGAAATTCTTGTTAATGTATTATCTCATTTCTATAATTTATTCAACTTTAAAAAAAAAGAATTATTTTTTAACTCTACACAATTAAACACAGTAATGGACAAAGAAATTCTTTGATGAGCAACAATTGCATAACACAATCATACACAATAGAAGGAAACAACTATAAGCATGTTTGAATACAAATCTATAAATGTTTTAAGAACTTATTTGTTGAAAAATATTCTTTATTTTTAGTAGAGAAGTTCTTAGAAATATTTCTATTATAGTTCTATATCTTTCATTGTTCGCTTCAATTTTTATTTTGATATCATATAATTTGTGTCATAATTTTAATTACCATCATTAAACTTTGTTGTATTTTCAACCAAATTTTGTTAACTCAATTTAAATCAACAAATTTTCTTTCTTTTTTTTTTTTTTCTTTCAAAAAATTGAATCATTTTATTTACCTATTTTGAGAGTCCCACCCAGCTAAATTGGCTATTTCATTGAGAGCAGCTTTCCATTTGTTGTAATTGGATTCTCCCTTATGTTTTGCAAAGGCTTGCTCATAGCTTCCAGTTTGCTTCCTCACTTGGGATGGATCTACGTTGTAAAATACAGGTATCACCATTTGTCCTTGCTTTTTCCTACATTCTAAAATCTTGCTGAGTTCTTCCAAGCACCATTTTGAGGAAGCATAGTTTGGTGAGAGGATGACAATAGATACAAGAGAATTTTCTATGGCTTGGATGAGTGCCGGTGAGATTTCATCTCCCTTTCTAAGCTCATAGTCTATAAAGGTTTCAACTTCCTTTTTCTTCAAAGCTTCATGAAGATGGCTTGTGAAGTTCATGCGGGTGTCCTCACCACGAAAGCTTAGAAAAACTTCATATTTTTTTGAAGACACCATAGAAGAAGAGTTAGAGGAAGAAGCAACATCACTGATGATTTGCAGCTCAACCATTATGATCTGCACCTGTAATGAGTTTAACACTACACTTGAAGAAATATAATAAAAGGATTTTATGTTTCACTATCTTCTTGACACTTCTACTTAATATTTGTTTTGTTATAATTTATAAATCTGTCTAATATGAGATCAAGCACTTCAAACTTCAAAGATCATAATCTTGCTCACTTACAAAAGAACAATTAGACAAACGTTTGCCAAATTGCTAGTGTGACTTTGTGGTGTTTTGCGATCCTTGGAGATTTCTTTAGCCTTGATCACCGACTTGCTTTTGACTTTGAAATGCTGATAGTCCATTTGAACAGACCAAAAGATAAGTAAACAAGTATATATAAAAAAACCTAGTAACATGAATAATGAATCAAAACTTCAGATTATTACCTTATAGCAGCGCAGATCGAAACTTAAGTCCTAAACATAAATATCATATCTATATTTCCTTGACATGTTATCAAACAGATGACTATCTTATATCCAACATTGATTGAAAATTATGCAGTTTGTTCAAGGCACTGCAGCTGTTCATTGGATAGATTGTTTAGAAAATATCTCAGCTTTAAAGACAAACTGGTATTGATTAAAAGAGTTTAATTAATATGATATTGACAGTTGAATATTTGATGTTACAGCTTTTATAGATCATTTGATGCTTAATTTTCATCCATATACCAGAAAACAAAGACTGCTAAAAAAAGGTGGAAGCACTTAGAATAGTAGGTACTACTAACTTAGCCTTAAACAAACCAAGGCCTTGAGAAAAGCATTGA